TTGACTCACAACATGACTTGGCAACCTAGCCACAGTCTGAGCCACAACAGAACTTGGCCCTTGAGCCACAGTAAAGCCTACAGCCTGATTTGCATTAGCCACAGCTTAGGTTACATTCATGTTGGTTGATTCAGTTGCCATTTCGTCGTCGTCTATAAATGAAACAACTTATCTATAATAATGACTTTGTTTTAAGTTTGTTAGATAAGTGTTTCAATACTAGATATCAGATTTACACACTGGATACCGTACTTGCAGGATAGATACCGTACTTACAGTGAATTTAAACACTGGATTTTCACATACCCTTTTTGCATGTAATTTTGAATATAACAAATTCAGTTATATATAACAAAATATCAATATGCAAAAATGAGTAACAAACAAGGAAAACAACGAATTAAATAGTAAAACTTTTAACCCGAGACCTGTACTACACACAGTTTCCTTAAAATAGATTCGCCCCCTCATAGTCTGTGCTTGAGGTTTAACTTGAGCGTTTATTTCCCAGGATACAATGGTAAACCTGTAGAGTCCGACCACTGCAGATTTTACTTCGGTGAACTGAATTAGTATCTGAAGAATATCACCACCAAGACTTTCATAGACAGTAAAATATGTATGTAGACAGAGGACAATTTCGTGTGTTTTGGAACTATAATGCAGACTGTATTCTTCATGTCTAGAATAGTGGAAAATGAGGCTTTATATAGATTTAACCCCATTAAATTTGTCCATAACTCAATGACAATAATCATTGGAGTTTCAGAAACCAAAAGTCTTAGCAATAATCTTTGGAGTTTCAGAAACCAAAATTCATTTGTTGAAAGCAAAAAATTGACAAAACGTCGACCATCCTAAGGAGCCAATTTTTTGGTCAATTCGGTCCAATGTTTGTGTACGTAGGTCGTGTCCGTACACAAGTTTAAGATCCGAAACCTATTTCGATCCATGATTTACACCCTTTTGTGCACGAACATAGCCTCTATACTACATATAATTACACACTTCCAAAGTGGTTCTTGCTTTCATTAATTTCTTATGTGGGATAATATCAATTTTAGTTTTCCATCCAACATAAACCATATTTCAATGGTCCACTTTGAACTACAATTTCTCT